TTACAATGAAACTCATTGCTTCTGATGTTAGAATGACATAAACATAATATACTAATAAAGCAATTTGGATCCCTCTCCCTGGTCTTAAAGAGAGCATCAAAACAGGCAAATAGTTCCCCATCTGTGGAAATATGAACAGGCTCAAATACAACATCCATGTGACTGCATCAAACAACATGGTGATCAGGGAGTTTCTATATCCAAATAAACAAATGCTTAAAGTGAAATTGTGATTCTGACTTCTTTCTCTCTGCCCCACGTTGGGCGGCCAAAAATGTGCTGGTTTAAGAGTTAACCAGCAGGGGAAATGAACTCAACTCAAAGGAGAGATTATAAGTCAGAATAACAATTTACTAAAATAATACAGTAAGTACAATCATACAAACAAACAATTGGTCTTAACCCACAAAACCCAAATGTATAACCCAGTACCCTGGGGCATGAACAACGTGGTGTGCCTTGGGCCCCGCTTGAGTCCAAAGTAAAGGGAGAGGGGAAGAACCTGCTGGTGGGAGAGCTGTTGCAGTCTAGTCAAAAGTGGTGATTGCAGTGAGATGCTGGGGGAAGAGCTGTTGCAGTCTGGTCAAAGTGGTGATTGGAGTCCAGTATAGGGTGATCCAAGTCTGTTTGAGAGCGATGAGCCGCAGTCCTTCTCTGGATCCCACAGAGTGGTTAAAAATGTTCCAAGACTCCAAGATTATATATCCTGCAGTTCAGGCAGGAATGCTCAGCACTTCCCTCAGGGCGGGGAGTTCCACAAAGGGTGTGAGGACAGGAGCATCCTCCTATCTCACAGGCCTCTTAACACCTAGTTTATAGCCTGAGGAGTCAGGCTCTATGGGCAGATGGTGTAAATGGTTCATTGATAACAGTTTCTGGGAAATGGCATGGAAGGCTATAGAATACACAGTTTTGGGTTACACCCATACCCTGATGAACTGGTCTCAGTTGTCCTAACTAGGACAATGTGTCTACTGGTTTAGAGGGAAAAAACCCAAAACCTCATTCACTGATGGTCCAAGGTTCTAGTGAGACATAAGAACTCTTACTATATAACTTTTACATACAAGAAACTGGTGGTGCACCCCAGTTACTTGAAGCTGTCATAGATTATGCCACTTAGCAGAGACAAATTGGCATGAAAATTTTGAAGCAGATCAAGTGAATACCAGGAGATATCCTGAACACACAGTATAAAAAGAAGACAAAGGACAGTTCTGAGGTAATAAAGAATAGGTTGATCCATGCTAAATTAATGGAGTTTTATCAGCATTTATCATATTCCAGGTGGCAGCTCCCTGTATTTTTCTTATCACTAGATCTTTTCAAGAAGTGCAGAGCCATTAAAATAAAAACTACCAAAATAAAATACATGAGACAAGCACAAAACCTTCTTTAAGCATTCAGGATTAGTTTTATTTTTATATTAAGAGGAAAAAAATACAACAAAGAGATTAAATAGGTTGTTTATTCCTAGTAAAATGGTTAGAATTTATTTTTTAAATATTTTGACTTCAGGGACAAGAGAATAGAGAGAAGAGGAAAGACTATATTCATTCCTACAAAAACAAACAAACAAAAATCCCCCAATCAAAACTGTTGATAATATATAAGAAATAGCCTACACATTAACTATTGTTTAGAGCAGAGACATATTCCTGAACAAAACAAAACAAAAAAATTCAACTTCAAACATCATAAAATACCATTACTGTATTTCCCCTGATTATTCTGCTTAGTAATTATGGCTCTTTTTGGTAAACATTTTCTGCCATTAACTAACAACCTCCTCAGAGTTTCTTTCCCCATAATAATAGGTTTCCTTTTTGGCTCTGCATCCTGTCTTAATTATGCCACAATGCCTTTTATGAGATGCCAGAGAAAGAGCAGAGTGCAGTGAAGAGCAAAGACAGGCCTGTAATCTCACTAATTGCCTTCCACATGCCAGAGGCCAGTGGCAGCAAATATGCAAGCTCTGCAAGACTGTCTTGTTCTGTGTCCATTTCTTTCCTCTCCTCTCTTGCCACCAACAACAGAAGCAATTAAACCCAGCAAGAGCTTTTTTTCCTGAAAGAAATATTTTGAACAAACACATACTGCAAACTCCTAAACAATATTGTTCCTGTCATGACACAAGCTTTGTGGAGCTGAAAGAGTTTGGCTTATCTAGCCCAAAATACAGCACATTAATAGCCAGTGGCCTGCTCAGCTGAGGATGGCAACAAGAACAGTTCAATTGTACTCCTTATCCAATCTTTAACTGCCTTTCTCAGGTCTTTCATGCTAATGGAAAACTCAGAGTATTTTAATTCTGGAATTAGTTCTCCCCTATTCAGGCACTCATTAGCAGTTTCTCCAACACATTTCATCAGGCTCTTGGTGTTACCCTGTGTGTTGGCAGAACTGAGCAGTCAATGCAACCTAAAACACATCAGTTCATGCCTCACATGCTTTGGCCAGCTTCATTCATCCTTCTTGATAATTCTAGCCTTAGTATTTTTCCAATGTTAATTTTAAATCAATATCATAAATCAAGCAAATGCTAGTCTGAAAAGCTAGCTACCACTGCCTGCTCCTGCAAAAACACTTCTTGACAGCCTTCCTGTTTATCATGGACTGACTGCTGGAGGATTAATTCAAACTCAGGCAACCGTTGACTTGAAACAAGGGCACAAATATGTATTTTCACAGAGATATTGGACCCCAGAAAGCCTTATATATCTAGATTAATTTGAAAAAGGAACATTGTTTTCTCCTGCTTTAAAATAGTATGATAATCAAAAAAATGCAAATTAACTATACATGATCTATAAAACTGAGAAAAGTGCCAGTAAGACTTTAAAGCACCCACCGTGCTGAGAGAGAATGTTGCAGCAGAGAGCTTAGCCTATTTGTAAGAGCAAGACATTGCACAAACAGCATGTGCCAGAAGCGTGGAAGCTTTTTTCACCTCTGAAATGCCAAAAAAGTGAAAATCCATCAAACTGTCACAGAAGTGTTACCTGTTGAGTTGCCCCAGTTACAAGTCCCTTGGTACAGAACCTTGTACAGACAACAGCGTAGTGCTACTGGATCACGTGGATACACCAAGTTTAAATAAAAAGTAAGCTTCTGGGAAGTGAAATATTTAATCCTGCTCTCCCTTCCAACCACCCTGCTTAACTAAGCCATCTGTTTAATGAAGATCAATTTTAAGTGTTGTTTTGTAATGATACATCACAACTGCTATGAAAAATCCTTGCTTTTGAAACTGTGGAGAGAGCTTACCTCTTCAATTTCTCTCCCCCAAAGAGTGTGTAATTATTCCCCTTCCTCCTTCTCCCCACCCCCAGGGGTAAAACAAACCAACGAATGAACCTAAGGTTGCTGAAAAAATTTAGGAGGAGGGAAATAAAACAAATTTACTTCTTGTTGAACACATTTCTAGCGCAAGCTGATAAGTTAAAACCTTTCATGTGTTTATCCTCTCAAGTACATACTATGTAGGAAAGAGTCTATAATCAGATTCCTTTATACAGGAAGCATAAACTAATAAGTACTTTCAGAAAGGAGTGTCTCACAAGTTTTTTACATAAATGAGTTTTGTAGTTTGCTTCACACAGCTATTTTTCCTTTCAACTTCATGTCAACAGTTTTAATATGAAGAATGACAGTAAAAATATTTACTCCCTGAAACAAAACAGTTATCATATATAAATACACCAAACATGCAGAAGGATCTACATTCCTAAAAAAAAAAAAAAAAAAAAAGGCCCACAGCTGGATTTAGGAACTGCTTTTATGTAACAAAAAAAGTTGTTATGGGACTACAGTTGAGATTCTGTTTCTTCATAAGACTCAGTGACGTGAAACTGGGAAAAAACCTCACAATTATTTTAATTTCACTTTTTCTTCACTTCTTTGAATGGTTCTGTTTACCTCTTACTACAGAAGATCATAAGGAATCAACCAAGTGGAAGAATGCCTACACTTTCTGATGCTCAATATCTTTAATTATTCATTATAAATTCACTGGAAGGTTATAAACGTTATTTGTCAATTTACCAATAGCACCACGCAGGAATTAAGAGGAGTAGCCAGCATAAATATATAGTGGGAAAACTGGTTGGTAGAGGTTTGATTCGTTGGTTGGTTTGTGTCTTAATGTGATTTTTTTTTTTTTAATTGTTCACATCTCATTCATGTAAGCAAGGGTTTGCACTGCTCCTGACTGAACACCCACTTGTGCCAGGCACTATAAACTCTTGAACACGTCTCTGCTTGAAGTCAGTAAAAATTATGTTTAATCAATGGAAAATAAGACACATATTGCATCAAATCGGTCCTTATTTCCCCTCAAAAACAGGCAAGCAAAAAATAAAAAGAACACTGGTCTTGGTCCTTGGCCTCAATCAGTCATGCACATCTGAGTTTTGTTGCTGATACTTGCCCTCCACATTTAAGTAATGTAAAGTACATCTACTTCTCCTCAGATATTTGGCAGCTTGAGACTTTTGCTGCTACTGCTTTCATATGTATTTCCAGAAATAGGAATGAGAAATAAAAAAGTACCACAAAAAATAAGACTCTAATATAGTAATAAGCTGAAGACACCTTTTTGGCTCCAAAGACATTTGTCTGAAACTGAAGCACCTCCATTATCCACAAAGTTCATTATCGTTGTGTCATTTACTGTGATCAGTAAATCTGATCATGTCTTTCATTTAGAAGTATTGCATATTTTTAACTTCGCTGTGTGAGAAGAGGCCTCTGAGTATTTCCACCACAGGAAAAGTGTTCTACTTATCAGATAGTAATAGGCATTTAATAGCAGAAAGGACACAAGTAGTAGACCTCTTAGCAGTGCTTTTGACAGACATATTTTGGAGGGTTGAGTTCATTTTTGCTTCAAAACTCAGAGACACCTGCCACAACAGCTTTATAGCTCTCTTTTTCCTGACCGAATCAGTATTTGATGACATCACTGACATACTGGAGCCCGCACTACAAAGGTAAAAAACTTATTGTGCAGCAGACAGTTCATGTACTGGTCTGTTGTCTTCAGTCAAACAAGGCAGGCAAGTCTTCTTACGGTCTGGTGAAAATCTGGGATTAACTTTACGACTAACAAATTATTTAACAACCTTAGCGCGCAGTATGTCCTATACTCACTACTGTATCTGTAATGCACCACAACCTTGTCCTGTTTAGAGTTGCTCTGGGGTGCAGGGGAAGTAGCAAGAGTTGCATCAAGATCAGCCAAAGCCTTTATAAAGATATAAGATTAAATGCTTATGGCCTTTATTCATTCTATTTTCACACATTTATTGTCCAAGGCTACCTTTGTTAGGATAAAAGAGAACAAACTACAAAAAATCTCACCTTACATACAGTCACTGGCCAATGATGAGCAAGATAAAGCTTTTTCCAGGTATGAGGGTGGTTGTCACTAGAGAAAGACAAATTTATTCTTCCTCAAGTATTTTAAAAAGAACTTAAAACTAACAAAGCACAGAGAAACATTGTAACTAGAAACCTGCTAATACCCCCCCATTGTTAAACAAATTCTCCTTCTGGCACTCTATGTCCATATGTATTCCATTTCCTAAATATAGAAGAAATACATTGTTCTGTTTTATATTTAGGAGAGCACTTACTGGCACACTTTTACAACAATAATTAATACTTTCTAAAAAAGGTGTCTTTTTTAAGGATATTAAGAATCTTCTAGTTCTTCTTGATAAGCATATTATCTGGGGGAAAAAAGTGTACAGCCTTCTTGGAACTGTAACTACTCTTCTAGAAAAGAAAGATTACCAACCACAAATAATGCAGTTGACACTACAGGAGATGTAACTGGGTCTTGCATCTCCCAACTTTTAGATTAAAAAAAAAAAAACAAAAAAAAACAGAATAAAAGGAAAAGTACAAATCATAAACCTCAAAAATGTTGACTTTCTCAGTTTATAGATACTTAATTCAAACAGTACCTTTTTTAAATGCTTACTAAAAATTAAGTAATTTTTCAACATTTAACAAATGATCAAACTATGACAAAGTCTTAAGGTTAGGTTGCCTGAGGAAGAACCAAAGGTTTATTGTGTATTTTACAAGAGCATATCTGTTTCAAAACCTCTTAGAATAAGAGATCTATAACTCACAGAGGCACCAGTACTATCTTATTCCTATGCAGAGGTAAAAAAAAAACCCTTCAAAAATTTGTTCAAAAAGTGTTGGAAGCCTATATCATGACACTTCTACAGAGGTATTTTCCAACAGTTTGGAGCAGACTTATTCTGGTTAAACTAGAAGTAAATAAGCCTGTTGCATCAGACACTAGAGCAAATAGATTTAGCTATTAAGCAACCACACAAAGTGATTAAACAGAAATGAGAAAAAAATCAACAGAACTGTGAATTGCTCAAACTGACAGCATTATGTGCAGAACTGTCAAAATAAATTGTTATTCTCTAGAAGCTAATAGTCACATGTCTGTCATCAGTTCTTGCCAGAGGTTATATTACAAAAAAAAAAAATAAAAAAGGGGGAGGTTACTTCTTAACCTGAAAAAGTAGGGAGCATCCCGTGTTCCATCACTTCTCAATTTTTTTCGTCTGGTTTTTCTACTTTGCAATGGACACATTTTCTCTTAAGCATTCACATGTATTTATGTTTTTTAACTTAGGAGAATAGCTCTGACCAGGCAGAACCACAATGAAAGCTATTAACACTTCTCTCTGGGTCTTTGCTGTTGCTGTGCAAACTTGAATAGAGGAATTCCTCTATATTGCAGAGCAGTTTGTTTCCTTGCTCAAAAAAAATCCTTCCTTAGGAAAGATCTTTTATCTGTCCTTGAAATAGCAGCTGAACTTCTGCAATGTTATTCATGCCAAAACAAGTTCTCCTAGAATACACATTTTGGCTAAGGATAGGTCAGAAAACTGTACTTACTAAACAAAGCAAGTTTTAGAAACTTAAGCTCAGAACTGGAATCCAAGGAAAGCCATTTTCAATACCTATCCAGCTTCAGAGGTATTTCCCTTTCTTTTGACCCAAGTTATCCAGTGCAGCTCAGGAACGTGCTTCTAGAACTGCTCCTGTCGCCAAGATGCCAAGGCACAGCCTAAGCCCTGGGGATTCAGGAAACAGCAGCACAGTGTCTAAGCTACCAATCAGGGGCATTGCAGCTATAATATGAAGTTCAGCACTGATCTAGGCACCCTTAACCATTCTTTTGCCAAAGCTTTGAAAAGAAGGTGAAAAGTTTATTTCCTCATATAATGCAATAGGAATTTGAGCTTTTACCATAGAAGGCTGTGATTTGGGGTGTGACCCACCGGTATTAAAACTTAGATTTTGCTAAGTGCAGCAACCACCAAAAGGTTGTGCAGCATTGATCCAGCCCCAGTTGGGATGCCATATGAAAAGGAATTTTAAATTACCAGAACAGAGAAATGAGCAAGGAAGAAAAAAAGATATATAATGAAACAGTTCATGCCATAGGGATGATCACAGTTTTTTTGTTATAGGTTTCAAAATTATTTCCGATTTTTGCCATTACTACAGCACAAGTCTAAATGACGTGTTTAAAACAAGATTGCACAAGTTTTAAGTGCAACAAATGTAATTTAAGTTTCCCTCTTTTTTCATGCTGGTACATTAATAAATGTAAAGGTTTTCTTAGGCATGATCCCTGCTCCTCCAGTTAATGCAGACGTCTCATTTTAACAGTCACTTAGCAGAAGAATAATTCATCAAAAATAGCACATAATAAGAAAGTTTACCTCATTAGAAGTTAAACCATTCTGATCTGCACTTAAGAATGAGCTGTCAGACACTTCTTTTTAAAACATAACTTACCTTTGAGTGAATTTATCTGAAGTACACCAACAACATAGTGCCACAGAAAACCAACCCAGAATCCAACAGTGCAGCTTTGCAGGTTTCATTTTGTTAATCAGATAGCTGTAAAAAGGTGTTAAAAGAAGAAATCTGTTACTTATCCAATGCACTTACAAGTCAAAATGCAGAAAAACACTACTATCTCAGAAACACCAGGCAACAGTGTAACTCTAGGCTAGATTTACAACCATGGGTAAAATGAGGATCTCACAGATTCACACAGAATCACAGAATATGCCAAGTTGGAAGGAACCCACAAGGATCATCAAGTCCAACTCCTAGCCCTGGACAGGATCACCAAGAGTCACACCATGTGCCTGAGGGTATCTCTTTGAAGGTTGTGCCTGATTCCCCAGCTTGTATGCTAATTTTCATAAACTAATGGCATCAAGGTTGAGATCATAATTTCTTTTTTTTTTCCTTTACTTGCACACAGTGCCAATAGAGTCACCTTCCAATAAATAGAAATACGTAAATCTTTTACACAACTGCATTTTAATTTAAGACTCTACTTGTGGTCAGCTTAAATGCCTGAAGTGATTAATTAAAGAAATTTTGAACTTAATATTGAATATTCATGTTGGATTGAAAAAGGCTGATCTTAGAAACATACAGGAACCCAAAGATGATGTCCAAATTCTCTCCAAATGCCAGCTGACTACTAAACTGGTATTAAAAAAAATTTCTGCTAAAACTAGATTAGTTTCTGTTCTTATTATAAATCTGACATAGCCTCTATGAAACCGTACACAATTTGCCTACTAATGGACCTTAAAAATCAGGGGATTAAAAAAATCAACTTAATCTTCACCAGCAGAAGGACTTTCACTTGGCACAGGTCAAAAAACTCCAACCGTCTCCTGTATCTGCCAGATATTTCACAGCATTTCCAATGCTACCTCCTAGAAACAGATGTGCATGTGTGTATTTACATGCAGTTATTAAAGCCTCACCAAACCTACTTTCCAACCTTCTCAAAACAAGAACCTTAAAATAAAGCACTACAAGACACTGCATGTAATCTAGGTGACCCTTCTAAGACCACTCACTACACAAGTCAGATTCTTTTTTCTATGAAGGTTTTTTTTAATTCATCCATATAATAGTCAAATAAAGCCTGTTTTGACACCAGTAAAGACATTGCTGATTCAGCCATTAAAGCTAACTTAAGAAAACTCCATGTAATTCGGACCCACAGCTCATTATAAACAAGAGTCCATTTTCTCACCGTTATTGCATGGCTCTGGACCCAGCTTGCAGGCCCCTCACAAGCCCCACCCTGCAGTTCCTCAAAAGTCATGGCTGAGCTGAAATCAGTGAGGCAGCCTCCCAGCTTGCAAAACGTGTGGAGATTTCAAAACTCCGTGAGGGGTTTGGGCAACAAAGAATAACAACTAACCAGCTAAACTTATCAGCAGGTTTTGCTAAACTGTGAAGAAACTAACACTTTTTAAGACATTCTTCTATTTCATATATTAATGCCTCTCTAATTTGTAAGGAATACATTACTAGGTACTTAGCCTAATAGAAGATATTAGAAGATAAATATTAGTTGCCAACTTTTAATTTTCTGATCATTTGGAGTGTGCTACTTGTAGAGCAAAGCAATCAATAATGTAGAACTGATCTTTATCAAAAGCCCACCGAAGCAAGACATATATGTTGTATTAAAGAAATTCCTATACTCACACAGTGTATAAAAAAAAAGTCACAAATAAGTAATTAACTGCTGTGTATCCAATTTCCCCAAGACTTCTGCATTTTAAGTGGTCTCCACTCACATCACTTGAACCGCAGGAATTAATGACGTGAGATTCTCCCTTATAGACCCGTTAAAATTCTTTCATCTACTATTATTTTTGACTGAAAACCAACCAAGCAAGACTACGTTTCTGCATGATAAATTATGTACCCAAGATAAAACACTGAGAGATGTAAGGAGTGTAAGATTCTGTGAGATTCATGTAAGATTCTGCCCTACCTATAAAAAGCAGAAAGTACCACTTAACAGACAGTAATGCCACACATCACCAAAAAAGGCTGCATTGCACATAGGTGTGGAAACACCTTAAGGAAATAATTATGAAAGCAAAATAAACCAGCAAGCATTATGCCATTTCTTTTGCAAACTGGTATGAGTTAAGTTGGCAGGCAGGTAGGCAGAAACTTTTTTTCCAGTGACTAAGCTGAAAAAAATATCAAGCCAACTACCCTTCTTTCTCATAGGACTCTTACACTCGATCAAAAAACGACCTGGAACAAAGGGGGCTTCAAAAAATGCTGCTATCAGAACAATGGAATGTGCTGATTTATTCTGCATATTGCTCTGCATCCTGCAGCCAGAACATAGGGACTACAGAGACAGTGAGCAAAGCTGAAAGCCCCAATCTCTAACTTACCTTTTTCTCCACTGATAAACAATAAATTCTAACGTTTTAGCTCGGAAGACAATACTGCAGCTACCACAACTATCATGACAAACAATGATTTACTCAAGCTGACCTTTTACTGGACTGTGACATTGATGGTGAAAGGTGAAAAGTGCATCAATCTCACTGGAAAAGCACCCAAAGGATGCACATTTGAGGAAATACACATCCAAATTAAAACTATCTTAACAGCTAAGCTGTATGAAGCACATCCGTTTTTAATAAAAATTGCTTCTGTTTGCTAAAAATTGCACTAGGTTACTAATTGCACATATACAAGAAAGAATCAATTTAACAACTCTTACACCAATTCCTCTCTAATAAGAAACTGGGATTTCATATATGAAAGTTAAAAAAAAAGTCATGATGTTCTAAAAGACTTCATAATGAAGAAAACTTAAAACTTCAAAATGAAACCTGCACACATACAAAAAATTATTATTTGGAACTAGGCTACCAAATCATGTTCATTATGGATAACATTCCAAAGAGTAAGAATAGCTATGGGATGACACTTGGTTCACTATACCTGGAATAGGCACAAAACGTCTGTGTGCCTCTTAGCAAATCAGTCAGGATAAGGTCACTTTCAGCTATGTTAGCATTGTTCCATGCTGTTATCAAAGTTATCTGCCCAGACTTATGGAAGACTAGAGTGTACTAGAGGAAATCTTTCTTTAACACATTCACCACAGTTTGAATTCTAATATACCATATTGAGGGGACTACTGACATAGCACATGCTTCTTTGGGACACTAGCGATTAGTCACCTATATTCTGCTCCCGTATTTTCTTTTTTTGCTTTTAGCAACTATTTTGACTAATAAACCCCAGATTTACACAAAATTTCCAGCTCTACACTTTAATTCAGCACATAGAACCAGAATAGAGAAGAGACTGCAGAAGAGCACTCAAGCATTAGCAGAGGACTCCCATGGCTATCAGATAGCACAGACGCTGCTAAATGTTGACAGCAATGTCCACGATAAGACCTAGGACAGCTAGCCTAGAGTCTAAAGGCCCAAAAATGAACACCCAAGGTTTTGGTCGCATCCCAAACAAGGTAACGCGCACCGCCTCTGCCACAACGAGTCAGACAAGCCGAGTAACAACACCGTATACCAGAAGCATTAATTTAATTTATAACAATGCTCTTAGCTCCAGCAAGTTTTACTTCCACAGTTGACCCCGAGCTAACCATTCATCCCAAGCACGAGTGATAGCCTCAGTAACTACAAAAAGCACTTTAAAGAAGCAATACTCACGTCCACTGCCACAGCAAGCTTTTTAGCATTACTTCCTCGCTACTTCTCTTGCAAAGTACAATTCAAGGCAGAACTCGAGCCGCAGTGGTTTCAGTGGCTGGCTTCCTGGGGAAGTCCCGAGGGCGGCGCCACCTCGCCTCCCTCGCACACTGACACACTGCTCTGCTCGGGGCACTGATACGAGATGGAACTTCCCGACACCATAAGCGCTTGCTGTAGATCATTACAGAGGCGTTTTCCCAAATTGTAAGAAATGCAAAGCACCCGAGCATCGGAAGCGGGATGCCCGCAAACGACGGGTGCATGCCAAAGCTAATGCCAAGTGTAAAACGAACTATTAACAGTCTTCCCAGCTCTGAGAAATGCTACCATGCCTTTGGCTCACTTCCGATGTGCTACACAGGGAATTTAAGGCATAGAAAACTAAACCTAACATGATTTGAGCCCGTTCCAGGCCTGCAAGTCCCACCTAACTTCGCGCAAGTAAGAATCTCACCGGCTTCCACAGACACACCTGGGGCGGGCCGAACACAACCTGCTCCTGCCCGGCTGCTGCCACGGCCAGGCAGCCCCACGGCGGGCAGGGGACTCGCAAATCCGACCTTCGCTGCCTCGCGTTCAGACCTCACCATACCTCAGCCCCCATTGCGTGGCCCTGCCCGGAGCCCCCCCGCCCGCGTTACCTTCCGCCCGCCGCTCCTGTCTAGTCCTGTCCTGCCCTGCCCTGGCCGCCTGAGCCGCCCGGGCCTCTCTGCGGGCCGCGCACAGCCCCGCCCCGAGGCGGGCGGGAGGGCGGAGGGAGTGGCACCTCCCTCCGCCACAGCGGCGGCTCACTGCGGCCTGAGTGGGGATTGCCAGCTGCTTCAGACCCCCAGGCTGAGCGCTCGGGGGGCGGTGGCATTCCCGCGGCATCCTCGTGGCCAGTCGGGCGCCCCGGCGAGCGGGTTCATGTGAGCGCGAGCGACGCAGGAGCGCCGGGGGGCTGCGGAAGACAGAATCGATGTGCGTGGTTTTGCTGTTTTGGTTGGTTCTTCTTTAGCATATTCTAGGCTTTAGTAGTAATTGGTTTCCTACCGAGAATTTGTGCGGCACAGAGGTCTTCGAGAGTACAACGAGGACTCTACTGACTAATGCAAGCCCAGTAAGGGGAACAGAGAAATGCTGACACGGGCGTCTGTGGCGCGCTTCTCCAAAATAGTGAGGGAAGTTTGAAAAGCTAACACTCGTCTTTGAAAACAGTAGCAAGTTTCTAAGGAAGGAGCCCCAAGGGATGAGTCACAAATGTTCCAGGCAGGACTTGGTTTACTGTTTTCTCAGCGCTATGGTAAACTATGAAACATATTCTGGTCTCTCTTTCTCTGCCAATGTGTGAATCATAAATAAAAAGCGTGATTGTTAATCAACTTGTATAGTTTTGGACTAGGGGGGATATATCACAGCCATCTTCTATTAATGCACTTGAGAAATATGTGGGCAGATCTGCTTCCACAAGCAAAACAACATGCTGGATGGAATGAGTGATCCATCTGCTGTTGTCGCTGACAGTGTCTAATAGGTATCAAAAGTTTCAGAAATTTTGTTGAAGAGTTAAAAATAGTGAAGCTTTCCAGATCCTTGTACGCAGCACTGCTCTTCCTGCTGCTGAGGATGTTACAGCTCCATCTGAAGTCTTTGTCACTGCCCATGAAGAGTCAGTAGATAAGGACACTCAGCCTGATTTTATCTTTGCAGACTGGAGGTGAAAAGAGTGGGCTGTACTGCACGAGCATTCTAGCTTGCAAGGTCTTGGACTCCAGTGTTAATTGTGTTTCAGGGTGCAATAGGGAATTTGCTCTCTGAGGTTGCCAAATTAACACTGCACTTGGTGAAAACTAAGCCCAAAGACAAGTTTCCCATTAATGTGGTTTCAGAGAGAGATCCAAAGCTGTGCTAAAATACTGTATGCTCTTAAGGTATTAGGACAAGGAAACCATATTTTTATGCCACAATATCATGAAATAGTGTATGTGTTATTAAAGAGACTGTTTTTGAGAGGTATGAGAAAGACGATGGAAAGCTGTTTTAGACAACTGTCTCCTCAAGACTTTCCATTTAATATTCATTTGTGTACTATGATCTTTTATTTCTTTATTGGCTTATCTCCTGATGGCTATTAACAATCATGATGCTGTGACTAGAAGGTGGTGGAAAAAATGAGGAAATGTCAGAATATTTGAAAAGTTTCTTTTAAATTTCATGAAAATAACATTTTCCTCAAAAAAATTCTCAACAAATGTACTAGTATCCTAGATTTCTGTATGTTTATATGCTGAAACGTGTGGCCTTGAAAAAAACCCAAACAACCCAAAATGAGGTTGGCATGATTCATCTTTCTTAAAGATTTTATATTAAACCCTTCAGAAGAATACATTTTTCCACCTTTCAGCGGTTTACGTTTAGGTTAGGGTTTAAGAATCCAGATAGAGACTTTCAAATTTTGTCTCCCTGACACAATGTGTTGTTTTGCTTTATTTCCATTGCACAAACAGAACAAACAAATCCAGTTAGACTTTTTTCCTAAAAGTGTGTTAAGAAAACATTTACGATACTCTGAGCAGATGTGGGTGAAGGTGGCTTGGTTTGGCGTTCAGAATCACAGAATATTCAGAGCTGGAAGAGACCCACGAGGATTGTGTCCGACTCCCGCCCCTGCACAGGACACCCCAAGAGTCACACCACGTGCCTGAGAGTATCACCCAAACGCGTCTTGAACTCTGGAAGGCTTGGTGCTCTGACCACTTCCCTGGGGAGCCTGTTCCAGCGAAGAACCTTTTTCTAATATCCAACCTAAACTTCGCCTGACACAATTTCAGGCCATTTCCTCAGGTCCTGTCACTGGTCACCAGAGAGGAGAGATCAGTGTCTGCCCCTCCTCTTCCCATCGTGAGGGAGTTGTAGACTGCGATGAGGTCTCCCTTCACTCTCCTCCGGGCTGAACAGGCTCAGTCACTCCTCGTATGGCTCCTTGGGTTCGAGCCTGGCGGGAAGGAGGGAGGATCTGAGGGGCCGCTGACGGAGCTGGGCGGCTGCCCAGTTCAGCCGTTACCGCCGCCCCCCTTTGAACTTCCCGCCCGCCGCCCGCGGCCGCGCTGCGCGTTCGCCGCCGCACTTTCCAGGCTCTGCGGGCGGCGGAGGCGCTGGATGGCTGCGGCCTCTCTGCGTCCCCTCTCGGGCTGGTGTTGAGGGGGACCGCTGGCCCGGTCCGCCGCACTCCCTCGGGTCCGCTCTGGGCTAGTGCCGCCGGCGGCGGCGGAGGCGAATCTGCCGAGCTCGTTCCGCCGCTAGCGCGGTTTGGGCGGTTGTCAGGGAGAAGCAAGATGGCGGCCGCGGCGGCGGAGGAGGACACGGAGCTGCGGGACCTGCTGGTGCAGACGCTGGAGAGCAGCGGGGTGCTCAATAAGATTAAGGTTGGGGAAGGAGAGCTTCCCGCCCAGCGGGGAGCGCTGGCTGGCGCCGGCGGCGGCTTGCGTCCCTGCGGAGTGTTGGGGGGGCTGAGGCTTCCCGGGCTTCGTCCCTTCTCGCTCCCGCTTCCAGCCGGTGTTCCCGGCTGGGGCGCTCCCTCTGCGTCGCGGCCTGGCGGTGGCGCTTGCTTTCCCCGTGGTGCTCCCTGGCCATTCGTGGTGGAGCTGGTACGAGGGCCCCGGGCCTGACCGCCGCACGGGCTGTGCCCCGCGGGAATGCGGGATCCCCCGGGCGGGCAGAGGGACGGGAGCGCGGGGAGCCCGCCCCCGCCTGTGCGGGTTTGCCCTCGTAGGGACCGTGTGGCCTCAGGAGCCCCCTTGCTGCCGCTAAACTTAGGGCTGGGAGCATTCTGCTGCCGGGTGGTGCGGCACGGGGTGGATAGAGTTTATCCCTGCTTCGATACGAAAAGCCCCTATTGAAAATTTCAAGCGAGTTACTGTGGGTCGCTATTTAAACACTTTCTCTTGAGTGTGGGTTGGTTGAGCTGTACCTTGAAGGCTTGCTAAATCTGGAAACTCTCTGGAGATCCTACCTGCCTACAACGAACAAATAATGCCATGTTAAGAAAATATACGGAACACAGTGGAGTGTACACTACTTCCAAGTTTATGGTGTAGCCTGAACTTGTGTCCGAAAGGGTATGAAAATGGTTTCCATTACAAGCTTCCATGAATAACTAGTGTGTATAGTAGACGGCAATATAGGTAAGGAAGCCTAAAAATAGATGGGTTCCCTTCCACGCTAAAGGAGAGATGAAGTGAAGATTTCACATCAAGGACAGTGGTGTTTGTCCACAGTGCTGTGTTTTAAGCCTTCAGAGATGGATGGTGGTTGCTGATACTTGAGGAACAGTTCAATAATTGAAATGGTTAATGGGAGTGAGAGCATATTTGTGCGTGTGCTTTGAAGTCTCCTGCATTTTGGACTAGTCATACTTTTCAACAAAAATATTAAAAACAGTGTTGTTCTTCCCTTTCAAATGGAGGATCCTTATTTAAACTTCCAAAGTAGATGAAGATTCTAGCTCATCTAACTGCAATTAGAGTAGGGAGACCTTTTTCTAACTAATGTCACATAGGCCTTTTGGGCCACCTGTTAACCACTCACGTAGTGTTAAACAATGAAAGTATGGTGATAATAAAATTGTAATTAAAAAAAGAATTGCAAGGCAATTGGGTCACATTGAGCCCCTGAGCTGTAGTTTCTTAATTCCTGCCTTTGTGTAACGTGTAAATTATTGTACTACGCTTGCCAGTTCATTGAGTTTTGCGTAAATATATTTATTGTAGTTCACTATTCTATAATGCCAAAAGTGTGCGGCATACAATATACTGAAAGGTATCCTTAAGGCAAACTAGCAAATGACTTAGAAAAATACAACCAGATTATGTCTTTTTTTTATTACTAGGAGTTACTGTTTAATAACTGGTATGCTTATGGCTAAGGCTGTTGATTGGAGGAATTCATGGTGGTTTTTTTCTTAGCTGTAAACCTTAACTGGCATGTGAGTTTGATGACTGTGTTGATTGATAGTGTTAATGACTTACAGAATTTGTTCTGCTAGTATCTGACAAAAAGCCCATTGCTAGAAGAATTAAGGTTGAACAAGTCTTCTAAATTGTCGTCTTCTAATTGAAATTAGATTATACAATCCATTAAAAAAATTGCAGTCTTTCTTTCATTAAAATAAAT